TATATATATATATATATATATATATACTGCAGTACAATAATGTACAATAAAAATGACAGATATGGACATATTACAATAAAAAACAGCAGATAAATGGACTGGATCTTTTATTCATATACAGTATAGATAGATAGATTGTTGATTGTGCCAACAACACAAAGTTCATGTCCTAGCCTTGTTTTATCTCTGAGATCATTCTCTCTGGTGCTTTCTACTCCACTGACTTCACATAGTTACGACAGAAAATTGTTGCTACTACTACAATGTCACTGTCAACAAAGTATTTTTCCACAAGTGGGAAAAAACAGGAAAGTTCCCAAACGTTCCCCTGATAACAGCAGCATTCATTTTGTAAAAAGAAAAAATACATAAACAAGCGTAAGAGAGAGTGAACTCACCAGACCCTCTTAAGAATCTTTCTGTCCAGTGCCAGGGTTTCCCTGCAGATTCAGAGAGTAGCCATAGGCACATAATTAAAAAGTAATCATTATCACATGAGAGCCTGCTGGATAACTTAATTTGCTGAAGCTGGACATGAAAAGAGAAAGAACACAGCTCAGACAGGAACTCAGTCAATCATTGGCCTGATAGCGTTACATAATGTTACTGCTGGAAGAAAATAACGATTTAACAAGCGCTGACCTTTGAACATCTCTTTACATCAACAGCACTTTACATCATTTTTAATCAACACATTTCCCTGACTGTCCTTGTTTTTAATCTCATAGTATAGTATTTCACTTGCCTTTTTATTTGCCTTTCTCTAGCAGGTTGCTTCAAGAAGTCCAGCTGAGCTCCTTCTCACTCAAACACAAAACCTGTTTGAGTCAAGCTGTTTCTTTCTTCAACTGCTTTTTCTAAAGGACACCTTGCCGTGCGAGTACGCTGTGAACTTGGAAAATAGACAGATCTTTTTTGTCACCCCTATGTGCTAGAGAGACACGGGCCTACTTTACAGATGAGGATAGAATTATTAGCCCACCTATACATGTTTTCAAAGTATTTCCCAAGTGCCAAACATCCTAGTTTTATTTTTGATGGTTACATTGTTTAACTTTGTGCACAGAAACAAAATGATTCCACTAAAACTACAATGGTCAAAATTATTAGCCCAAATGATGTTAATCTTCATTTGTGTATCCTTTTTGCTGTTGTCAGGTGTTGTTTTCATGTCTCAAACACACCTCTAGAGTAACCCCAGTTCATTCTTCTTTGTCAAATCTCTCAAGCTTCTCCAGATTTGATGATCTTCTGACGTGGACCTTGCTCCTCAGTTCACCACACAGATTTATGTCAGTTTACTTTGGTCTTTAGTTCTTTACCAGAAGCGATATATGTTTAAGGTTTTGATGGAAGACAAAGCATACACTCACTCAGTTTTGCTGCTGACTACTTGAGGGTTTTCTTTCAAATATGCTTCTGCTTTCATGATTCCTTCCATCTTGACAAGATTCCCAGTTTCAGACACACTGAAGCAGACACACTGCACAGGAATGGACTGTGACGTTGCAGGCTAAGAAAAATTGCACTTTTGCAGAAGAACTGTGGGGATCACAGTTCTGCAAAAGTGCCATTTTTCTTAGCCTGCAACGTCACAGTCCATTCCTGTGCAGAGTTCTAGTGATTGTCTTAAGACTGCAAATACTGACCTGTCTAAGTCAATCACTGGTGTCTTGGCAGTTATTCTGGGATCTTTAGACACATCTTTCACTAGTTTTCTTTGCAGAGTCTTTGATATCTTACAGTTACTTCTGCCAGGCTTGTTCTGTACTGTGTGGCTCTCTTTCAATTTCTTGAAGATACTTCTCCCTTCAGTTGTCATAACCGTGTTTATGCTTCGCTTTCCTGCTTTGTAAGCGTCAATTCTTTTTCTCAAGTCTAAACTTTTTCCTTTGAGTTTGGCACAATGCTTTCTCAAGTGCCAGCTCCCTGAAGTTATGCTGTGTGTAAATTGGAAGATATCCATCAGTTTAAATTGATTTTACAAGCTTTGACTATTACAAAGTAAAAGCACATCCTTTCAGTTGTTTGTGCTATGGCTCAATAAACAGTTTTCAGGGAGCTAGAACTTGCCTGGCATTATTTTTTTTACTTTATTTTTTTTTATTAAATAATCCATTGCACATTAAACAAAAATCTGTTCTAACTATTGCTATAATAATAATAATGTGCTTTTATTGATGCCATGAAGACCTCTAGGCAAGTACCATCAGCTTCTATTATACTAAAGAGGACTTTTTAATCAAACAGCTGAATAAATTATGTAAAATGATAGGGATGTGCAAATGGTACTACAGACCAGAGAGAAAATACGTTAGGAAACATTTCAATCACCTCTGCTTTGTTATATTTATGGGAAAAAAAAAAAAAAAAAAAAAAAGACTGGAAATTATTTGAATCATAAACACCCTTTAAAGAAGTTCATCGGCTCCAGTCACTCAGGAGGCTCCTCTAAGTAAACCTCTACAGTTCAATCTATTCATGTTTGCCAT